GGTAGGGGTGTGTGTGTGTGGGTAGGGGTGTGTGTGTGTGGGTAGGGGGTGTGTGTGTGGGTAGGGGTGTGTGTGTGTGGGTAGGGGTGTGTCTGTGTGGGTAGGGGTGTGTGTGTGTGGGTAGGGGGGTGTGTGTCTGGGTAAGGGTGTGTGTGTGTGGGTAGGGGTGTGTGTGTGTCTATGTGGGTAGGGGTGTGTGTGTGTGGGTAGGGGTGTGTGTGTGTGTGGGTAGGGGTGTGTGTGTGTGGGTAGGGTTGTGTGTGTGTGTCTATGTGGGTAGGGGTGTGTGTGGGTAGGGGTGTGTGTGTGTGGGTAGAGGTGTGTGTGTGTGGGTAGGGGTGTGTGTGTGTGGGTAGGGGTACGTGTGTGTGGGTAGGGGTGTGTGTGTGTGTGGGTAGGGGTGTGTGTGTGTGGGTAGGGGTGTGTGTGTGGGTAGGCGTGTGTGTGTGTGGGTAGGGGTGTGTGGGTAGGGGTGTGTGTGTGTGGGTAGGGGTGTGTGTGTCGGTAGGGGTGTGTGTGTGTGGGGGGGTAGGGGTGTGTGTGTATCTGTGTGTGTGTAGGGGTGCGTGTGTGGTCGACCTGTGGCACCTGGGTCTGCCCCGTGACCTCCTGCCAGCGGGCGTTCGACACTTCACGTGGCCTCAGGGTGCACATAGCCTGGCACAAGCATCGTGGTGACGTCACCGCCACTTAGTGGCGAATGGCGGTTGTTGTGTGGGTAGGGGTGTGTGTGTGTGTGGGTAGGGGTGTGTGTGTATCTGTGTGTGTGTAGGGGTGTGTGTGTCTATGTGGGTAGGGGTGTGTGTGTTGGGGTGTGTGTGTTGGGGTGTGTGTGTGTGTGTCTATGTGGGTAGGGGTGTGTGTGTGGGTAGGGGTGTGTGTGTGTGTAGGGGTGTGTGTGTGTGGGTAGGGGTGTGTGTGTGTGTGGGTAGGGGTGTGTGTGTGGGTAGGGGTGTGTGTGTGGGTCGGGGTGTGTGGGTGTAGGGGTGTGTGTGTGTAGGGGTGTGTGTGTCTATGTGGGTAGGGGTGTGTGTGTCTGTGTGTGTCGGGGTGTGTGTGTCTGTGTGTGTGTAGGGGTGTGTGTGTCTATGTGGGTAGGGGTGTGTGTGTGTGTCTGTGTGTGTGTGTGTGTAGGGGTGTGTGTGTGTGTATGGTAATGGGGAGCGGTAGTGTAGCGGTTAGCGCGCTGCGCTATGAACCTGGCGACCCGGGTTCGAATCCCGCTCACGGCCAACACCAGTGACGATTATCTGAACCGGTCCCGGGCATCCCCTAGGTCGACTCAGCCTTAAATGAGTACCTGGTGCGGTGGATAAAAACATTGCCACTAGGGAGACAAAGGCGGTCGGGCGTGGTGCTGGCCACCCATCCCCTCGTGTTCCGTTCCGGCCTTCATAGGTGCTCGCTAACAGCACTTGCCCCTACAGTCTGTTAAGGCTATATGGGGGATCTTTGTTTTGTGTGTGTCTGTATGTGTAGGGGTGTGTGTGTGGGTAGGGGTGTGTGTGTGTCTGTGTGTGTGTAGGGGTGTGGGTGTATGGGTAGGGGTGTGTGTGTCTATGTGGGTAGGGGTGTGTGTATCTATGTGGGTAGGGGTGTGTGTGTCTATGTCGGTAGGGGTGTATATGTGTGTCTATGTTGGTTGGTGTGTGTGTCTATGTGGGTAGGGGTGTGTGTGTCTATGTGGGTAGGTGTGTGTGTGTGTGTGGGTAGGGGTGTGTGTGTGTCTATGTGGGTAGGGGTGTGTGTGCGTGTCTATGTGGGTAGGGGTGTGTGTGCGTCAGTGCGTGTGTATGTGGAGAGTGGCGCTGCGCTACGAACCTGGCGACTCGGGTTCGATTCCCGCTTACGGCCAACACCAGTGACGAATATCTGAACCTGTCCCGGGCCTCCCCTAGGTCGACTCAGCCTTAAATGAGTACCTGGTGCGGTGTGTAAACATTGCCACTAGGGAGACAAAGGCGGTCGGGCGTGGTGCTGGCCACCCACCCCCTCGTGTACCGTTCCGGCCTTCATAGGTGCTCGCGAACAGCACTTTCCCCTACAGTCTGTTAAGGCTATACGGGGGATCTTTGTCTTTGTGTATTTGGAGAGTGGCGCTGCGCTACGAACCTGGTGACCCCCCCCGCTCACGGCCAACACCAATGACGATTATCTGAACCGGTCATGGGCCTCCCCTAGGTCATCTCAGCCTCAAATGAGTACCTGGTGCAGTGTGTAGTAAACATCGCCACTAGGGAGACAAAGGCGGCCGGGCGTGTTGTTGGCCACCCACCCCCTTTTGTGTCGTGTCGGCCTTCATAGGTGCTCGCTAACAGCACTTTCCCCAACAGTCTGTTAAGGCTATACGGGGGATCTTTGTATTTGTCCGTGTGTCTTGGCACTGCACACTAGGAGGTGGGTAGCCAACACCACGCCCAACTGCCTTTGTCTCCCTAGCGGCGATGTTCACACACGTCACTAGGTACTCAGTTGAGCTGAGTCGACCTAGGGGAGGCCCAGGACCAGTTCAGATAATAATCGTCACTGGGTGTTGGCCGTGAGCGGGAATCGATCTCGGGTTGCTGCATTGCGGTAGCGCAGCCCAGCCAACTACTACACTACCTCTTCCCGCCACACTTGCACGCATACACACAGACACACAGACGACATAGGCTGTTGGGGCGTGTGGATAGCGAACGCCTATGCAGTGTGGGGGGGGGGGGAGATGGACGGTCGGAGATGGCGGGAGAGGTTTTAGAGATGGTGGGAGAGGTTTTAGAGATGGTGGGAGCGGTTTTAGAGATGGTGGGAGAGGTTTTAGAAATGGTGGGAGCGGTTTTAGAGATGGCGGGAGAGGTTTTAGAGATGGAGGGAGAGGTTTTAGAGATGGCGGGAGAGGTTTTAGAGATGGTGGGAGAGGTTTTATAGATGGTGGGCGAGGTTTTATAGATGGTGGGAGAGGTTTTAGAGATGGTTGGAGAGGTTTTAGAGATGGTGGGAGAGGTTTTATAGATGGTGGGAGAGGTTTTATAGATGGTGGGAGAGGTTTTAGAGATGGCGGGAGAGGTTTTAGAGATGGTGGGACACGGAGGGAGACACAGGGAGACACAGGGAGACGGAGGGAGACAGACACAGGGAGACGCAGGGAGACACAGGGAGACACAGGGAGACACAGGGAGACGCAGGGTGACACAGGGAGACACAGGGTGACACAGGGTGACACAGGGTGACACAGGGAGACGGAGGGAGACGGAGGGTGACACAGGGAGACACAGGGTGACACAGGGTGACACAGGGAGACAGGGTGACACAGGGAGACACAGGGAGACGGAAGGAGACGGAGGGTGACACAGGGAGACACAGGGAGACACAGGGTGACACAGGGAGACACAGGGAGACACAGGGAGACGGAGGGAGACGGAGGGTGACACAGGGAGACACAGGGTGACACAGGGTGACACAGGGAGACACAGGGAGACGGAGGGAGATGGAGGGAGACACAGGGTGACACAGGGTGACACAGGGTGACACAGGGAGACACAGGGAGACGGAGGGAGACACAGGGAGACACAGGGTGACACAGGGTGACACAGGGTGACACAGGGAGACACAGGGAGACACAGGGAGCCACTGTTCCTCAGGAGTCGTGCAGACTGCCCAGCGACATCCCCCCAGTGCTGGATTGTGGCCGTGGAGGCGAGGCGACGATTAAGGCCGCCTCCTCCGTGGGGGCGGCAGAGAGGCCTCTGAACCCCCACAGAGCAAACATCGGGGATGGGGGGGGGGGGTCAGACCACCCCCCGTCTGCTCATCGCATCGCAATATCTCACCCCCCCCCCACACCCCCACACTCTGTCAACACGGAGCGAGACGCCAGCTCTGTACACGTAGCAACTCCTGTGGCAGAAGTTGAATGGCAAAGTCTAATATGCCCGTGTCGAGGTTGGTGAGTGAGTCCAGTGAGTTCGTCAGCCGGTGAGTGAATCAGTGAGTTAGTGAGTGCGTCCGTGAGTGAGTGAGCCAGTGAGTGAGTGAGCCAGCGAGTGAGTGAGCCAGTGAGTGAGTGAGCCAGTCAGTGAGTGAGCCAGCGAGTGAGCGAGCCAGCGAGTGAGTGAGTCAGCGAGTGAGCCAGCGAGTGAGTGAGTCAATGAGTGAGTGAGCCATTGAGTGAGCCAGTCAGTGAGTGAGCCAGCGAGTGAGTGAGTCAGCGAGTGAGCCAGTCAGTGAGTGAGCCAGTCAGTGAGTGAGCCAGCGAGTGAGCGAGCCAGTGAGTGAGCGAGCCAGCGAGTGAGTGAGCCAGCGAGTGAGCGAGTCAGTGAGGGAGCCAGTGAGTGAGTGAGCCAGTCAGTGAGTGAGCCAGCGAGTGAGCGAGCCAGTGAGTGAGTGAGCCAGTCAGTGAGTGAGCCAGCGAGTGAGTGAGTCAATGAGTGAGTGAGCCAGTCAGTGAGTGAGCCAGCGAGTGAGCGAGCCAGTGAGTGAGCGAGCCAGCGAGTGAGTGAGCCAGCGAGTGAGCGAGTCAGTGAGGGAGCCAGTGAGTGAGTGAGCCAGTCAGTGAGTGAGCCAGCGAGTGAGTGAGCCAGCGAGTGAGTGAGCCAGTCAGTGAGTGAGCCAGCGAGTGAGTGAGTCAGCGAGTGAGCCAGTCAGTGAGTGAGCCAGTCAGTGATTGAGCCAGCAAGTGAGCGAGTCAATGAGTGAGCGAGCCAGTGAGTGAGCCAGTCAGTGAGTGAGCCAGCGAGTGATTGAGTCAGCGAGTGAGCCAGTCAGTGAGTGAGCCAGTCAGTGATTGAGCCAGCAAGTGAGTGAGTCAATGAGTGAGTGAGCCAGTGAGTGAGTGAGCCAGTCAGTGAGTGAGCCAGCGAGTGAGCGAGCCAGCGAGTGAGTGAGCCAGCGAGTGAGCGAGGCAGTCAGTGAGTGAGCTAGTGAGTGAGTCAATGAGTGAGCGAGCGAGCGAGTGAGATGGTGAATTTCTCAGTTGAGCGCCCGCGCTCGTCTCACGTGACCTGCCCATTGCGTTGCAGTTCAACTTTGTGGGGAGGATCCTGGGACCGCGCGGCCTCACGGCGAAGCAGCTGGAGGCGGAGACGGGCTGCAAGATCATGGTGCGGGGAAAGAGCTCCATGCGGGACCGCAAGAAGGTACGGGGGCCGCGGGGGCTGCGGGGGCCGCGGGGGCCGTGGGAGGCCACGGGGCACAAAGATCACGGAGGTCGTGATCCCTGTGGAGGGGAGTAGAGTGAGATGAGATGGGAGAGGTAGGAGAGTGAGTGGAGGGGAGTGGAGTGAGATGAGATGGGAGAGGTAGGAGAGTGAATGGAGGGGAGTGGAGTGAGATGAGATGGGAGAGGTAGGAGAGTGCGTGGAGGGGAGTGGAGTGAGATGAGAGGGGGAGAGCTGGGAGGACGTGAAGTCCACAGCACTCTGGATGGCCGTGCTCTCAGTTGAGGACTTCAGCTTCGGGCTACTGCGGATTCACCGCTCACTCCCCTCCATCGCCTCCCTCCCCTCACTCCCCTCCCTCCCCTCACTCCCCTCCCTCCCCTCCCTCCCCTCCCTCCCCTCCCTCCCCTCCCTCCCCTCCCTCCCCTCCCTCCCCTCCCTCCCCTCCCTCCCCTCACTCCCCTCCCGCCCCTCACTCCCCTCCCTCCCCTCTCTCCCTCCCTCTCTCCCTCCCTCGCTTCCTCGCTCACACTCGCGCGAGACACGCGGCCCGAGGTCTTGAACCGGCGCTCAGGACAGCGCGGCGAGGAGGATCAGGAGGAGATAGAGGAGGAGGAGGAGGAGGTGGAGGAGGAGGAGGAGGTGGAGGAGGCCCCGTGATTGACAGCGGAGCGGCGTTATTGTAGCCCGCTTGGCATTTTCCCTTCGTCACAGCCCGAGAATTTTGACGGACGCGGCAGCGTTGCCTGCACCCCCCCCCCCATCATCACACAAACCCCCCCCTATCACCCCCCACCCCTCTCTCTCTGCCGGGGGTTTCTGGCTGGCACACGCGGCTGTGTGAGTGGATGTTTGTCTGGATTTAGAGAAGTTTTGTTGGAAGGTGGAGATGAAAAATCAAGAAACGTTTTGGACTGTGAGCCGTAGCCGGAGCAATGAGAGGAACTAGACGGCGACTCTCGCCTTGGCTCCCATTGACAACAGCAAATAGTTGAAGGCGCTTCCGTGTGGTGTGAGTGTGTGAGTGGGTGTGAGTGAGTGTGTGAGTGAGTGTGGTGTGTGTGAGTGAGTGTGTGAGTGAGTGTGTGAGTGTGTGAGTGAGTGTGAGTGAGTGTGTGAATGAGTGTGTGAGTGTGAGTGAGTGTGGTGTGTGTGAGTGTGTGAGTGAGTGTGTGAATGAGTGTGGTGTGTGAGTGAGTGTGAGTGAGTGTGTGAGTGTGATTGTGAGTGAGTGTGTGAGTGAGTGTGAGTGAGTGAGTGTGTGTGAGTGTGTGTGAGTGAGTGTGTGAGTGTGGTGTGAGTGAGTGAGTGTGAGTGAGTGTGTGTGAGTGTGTGTGAGTGTGTGTGTGTGAGTGAGTGTGTGAATGAGTGTGTGGTCCGGCAAAACAACCCCCTACCTCCTCGCGGTGCCGGACGGGCAACTCTGTCGTGGACAGCGCTGTGGGGGGAGATCCAATTTTGATTGGCTCCTCCCCTCATGGCATATGTGTCCACCACAGGGGCTAAACGGGGGCTCTGGACGGGTGCGAGGGGCTGGTAACCCCTCCACCTTCAATTAATTACCACGAAACCACGAATTAAACTGAAATATGTAACAACTAAGCTTATGCCGGAGGCCCCGGGGGGCCAGGCGTCTATGACGTCTCCTGGCCAAACCCCAATTGGCGGAGCCAGGAGATTGAATACCTACCCTCGGGGCTACTCCAGAAACAACGAAAAGCCACTACGGGTGGCCACGTGGAATGTTCGAACGCTCACTGCAGAGGAGAGGCTGCCACTCCTCTGTCGGGAGCTGGACCGGTACCGCCTGGATCTATGCGGCATTCAGGAGGTCCGGTGGACCGGCTCTGGCTCTTGCCACCATGAGGGGTGGACAGTCCTCTACTCGGGGCAGCAGACTGCCAAACAACAGGGTGTGGCTCTTCTTTTGAACAAAAGAATGAAGGGGGCGTGGGAGCGTGGCGGTGAGGTGTGGGAAGCTGTAAGCCCCAGGCTACTTTGGGCTCGCCTTCCCATCAACCGGAGGCGAGGAATGGTGGTCGTGGTTACTTATGCCCCCACCGAAGATGAACATCCGTGGAGGGATGCAGGCAAAGCCGATGAGTCAGATGCCTTCTATGACCTCCTGTCACAGGTGCTGGCTAAAGTGGCCCCTCGGGATAGAGTCATCATGTTGGGTGACTTCAATGCCCGAGTTGGTCATGATACTGGCACCTGGTCTGGAGTGATTGGAGGGCATGGGCCAGATCAGCTCAATAACAACGGTAGGAGGCTGCTAGATTTTTGTGCAGCCCATGGGCTTGTAATTACCAACACGCTGTTCCGGCATCGGCGCATCCACACAACATCATGGATGCATGCCGGGTCCAAGCAAGAACATCTGCTGGACTACATAGTGACGGACCAGCGAATGCGAGCCCATGTCCTTGACACCAGGACCTACCGTGGAGCTGATCTGCCCTCTGACCATCGACTAGTCATCTGTAAGATGCGCCTGCCATTCTTCCACTCCGGTGGTGGGTGTACACCCAGGACCCCATTCCAACCTAAAGTGGCCTGGTCTCAGTTATCTGATGAAAGTTGCAAGCGAGAATTTCATCATCGCTTGCGGCTGGGATTGGCATCGTCCCCGACTCCTCCTGATGTCGAGGGTAAATGGGCGAGGTTTAGGACTGTGACTCATGCAGCTGCAATGGCTGCTTTGGGTACGCGGTCCAGACCTCCCCAGACACCCTGGATGACAGAGGAGTTGTTCAGGATGGTTGAGAAAAAGCGACAGGCCCACTGTCATCGGCTACAGAATCCCACGTCAGAGAATGAGGAGGCTTACCGCAGCCTTCGCTCGGAGGTTCGGAGAGCTGTGAGGCGCTGCAAGGATGGGTGGTGGTCGCGGGTTGCTGAGGAGATGGAGTCTGCCTCAGTGGCCCGTGATCACAAATCTCTATTTAACTCCATCAAAAAAGTAACCTGCAGCGCCACACCTATTACCATCATTAGGGGAAAAAACGGTGATCCAATTTCCGACCCCCAGGAACAGGTTCGCAGATTTGCTGAGCATTTCTGTGAGGTCCTGGGGGAGGGAAAATCCCTCAGCCAGGAAAACACCGTGGCACAAAGTGAGGATGACCCTGCTGAGGCTGCGGTGCCTCAAATATTGGATGAAGTCACCCCCTGTGAGTGGCTGGCTGAGGTGCCATCTGCTGAGGAAGTATTGAAGGCGATCCGGAGTCTGAGACCAGGAAAGGCAGCGGGCAGAGATGATCTCCCAAGCGAAATGCTGAGGGAGGGTGGCGTTTGTGCACAGACTGCCCTATATGACATCATAACAACAGTCTGGACCACTGGACGGGTTCCGCAGGATTGGAAGGATGCCCTGGTGGTCCCCCTTTTTAAGAAGGGGGACCGCACAGACTGTAACAACTACAGGGGCATCTCACTCCTCAGTGTGCCGGGAAAGGTCCTGGCAAGGATTATTCAGCATCGCCTTGCCAGGCACGCTGAGGAGAGGCTTGCGGAGCCCCAATGCGGTTTCAGGAAAGGGCGGTCCTGCACAGATGCCATATTTTCTGTCCGTCTGCTACAGCAGAGGTGTAGGGAATTCCAACAAGACCTACATCTCTGCTTTATTGACCTGGTCAAGGCCTATGATACCATCAGTAGGCCTGGGCTCTGGGTCGTTCTTCGTGCTTTTGGAGTACCTGACCCTCTGCTCACGATCATTAAGGACCTTCATGATGGTGAGCGGGCCCGGGTAAAACTACGTGGCCTGGAGTCAGAGCCATTCCCTGTACACCTTGGGGTGCGACAGGGATGTCCTCTGGCTCCCACATTATTTAACATCTATTTTGACCACGTAGTTCGTGAAGCCTTCAATAGCTGTACCGGGGGAATCTCCATATGGTACAGATATAATGGGAGGCTAATCGATGCCCGGGTGCGGTCAAGGGATGGCTCCCTATTGCTCAACCACGTTATGTATGCTGATGACTTGGTAATAGCTGCTCAGTCAGAGGAGGAGTTGGAGACGCTGCTGCTGAGACTGGAGCGTGCCACTAAGAGGTGGGGCCTTACCATCAGCCCCACCAAAACTAAGCACCTGCCTGGGTATTTTGTACCATCGGACACTCCACCCCCACAACTCCCAATCGGTGATGGGGCAGTTGTGGAGAGAGTGGAGAGTTTCCCATACCTGGGCAGTGTGCTTATGACTGGCTCCAGTTTAACAGCAGAGGTCTCACTCCGAATCAGTCGAGCGGCAATATCTTTTCATCGGTTGCGTAACGCTGTGTGGAAGCTACCTGGTCTGTCGCTCCGCACTAAGCTTCAGGTCTTCTCGGCCACGGTCATTCCCTCCCTTCTCTACTCTTGCGAAACGTGGACCCCCCTAATGGAACATCTTCGCCGGTTAGAAACATTTAGGCTGGCCTGCCTACGATCCATCCTGGGTTTAACCAGACTGGATTGTGTGAGGAGCTCACAAATCCTTGAAAGATCTGGGCAGGGTCCCATCGGTGAGCTCCTCCGGCAGGCAAGGCTGCGATGGCTGGGTCATGTAGCCCGCATGCCCAGCCACCGCATGCCGAAACAGCTTTTGTTTGGCCGGATTGAGGGGGCTAAGCGGGCGCGGCACGGGCTAGAGAAGAGATGGAGTGATGTGGTACAGGAGGACGTGGAGCTGAGTGGACTTGCCAATGACTGGTACCAGCGGTGTCAAGATCGGCCTCTGTGGAGGAGGCTCGTGAAGGATGCTACTGGGCAGTTGGAGGCAGTCGCCCTCCAACAACAACGGAGGGCGGAGGAGCGACGCTCACAACAGCGAGCGGAGTGCCGGGTGGCTAAAGCACAGCAGGTTGGCACAGTAGGGGGCACAGGTGGTGCATCAGCCAGTCATCTCAGTCAGTCGACCCGTGGCACCTGGGTCTGCCCCGTGACCACCTGCCAGCGGGCGTTCGACACTTCACGTGGCCTCAGGGTGCACATAGCCTGGCACAAGCGTCGTGGTGACGTCACCGCCACTTAGTGGCGAATGGCGGTTGTTGTTGCTGTTGAGTGAGTGTGTGAGTGAGTGTGGTGTGTGTGAGTGAGTGAGTGTGTGAGTGTGTGTGAGTGAGTGTGGTGTGTGTGAGTGAGTGTGGTGAGTGTGAGTGAGTGTGTGAGTGTGAGTGAGTGTGGTGTGTGTGAGTGAGTGTGTGTGTGAGTGTGTGAGTGTGTGTGTGAGTGAGTGTGTGAGTGAGTGTGAGTGTGGTGTGCGTGAGTGAATGTGTGAGTGTGTGAGTGAGTGAGTGTGTGAGCGAGTGTGTGAGTGAGTGTCAGTGTGGTGTGTGTGTGAGTGAGTATGTGAGTGAGTGTGAGTGAGTGTGGTGTGTGTGAGTGTGTGTGAGTGAGTGAGTGTGTGTGAGTGAGTGAGTGTGTGTGAGTGAGTGTATGAGTGATGGGGAGCGATAGTGTAGCGGTTAGCGCGCTGCGCTATGAACCTGGCGACCCGGGTTCGATTCCCGCTCACGGCCAATACCAGTGACGATTATCTGAACCGGTCCCGGGCCTCCCCTAGGTCGACTCAGCCTCAAATGAGTACCTGGTGCGGTGTGTAAACATTGCCACTAGGGAGACAAAGGCGGTCGGGCGTGGTGCTGGCCACCCACCCCCTCGTGTACCGTTCCGGCCTTCATAGGTGCTCGCTAACAGCACTTGCCCCTACAGTCTGTTAAGGCTATATGGGGGATCTTTGTTGTATGAGTGAGCATGTGTGTGAGTGAGTGTGTGTGAGTGAGTGAGTGTGTGTGAGTGAGTGAGTGTGTGTGAGTGAGTGAGTGAGTGAGTGTGTGAGTGAGTGTGAGTGTGGTGTGTGTGAGTGAGTGTGAGTGTGGTGTGTGTGAGTGAGTGTGAGTGTGGTGTGTGTGAGTGAGTGTGAGTGTGGTGTGTGTGAGTGAGTGTGTGAGTGTGTGTGAGTGAGTGTGTGAGTGAGTGTGTGTGTGTATGTGGGGAGCGGTAGTGTAGCGGTTAGCGTGCTGCGCTACGAACCTGGAGACCCGGGTTCGCATTCCCGCTCACGGCCAACACCAGTGACGATTTTCTGAACCGGTCCTGGGCCTCCCCTAGGTCGACTCAGCCTCAAATTAGTACCTGGTACGACGTGTAAACATCGCCACTAGGGAGACAAAGGCGGCCGGGCGTCGTGCTGATCACCCACCCCCCCCGTGTGCCGTGCCGGCCTTCATAGGTCTTCGCTAGCAGCTTTCGCCCCAACAGTGTGTTAAGGCTACACGGGAGATCATTACCTTCATAGACACAGCTGCACACCCACACACCGGTACACTCAGAGACACATTGCATTTCGCATAATGGCCATTCTGGAATTTTCTTTAGCTGAATAATTAATTTGGAGCGAGATCACTGCTCTGACGGCTAATCAAGACGCTCGCTTTGGCAGCAGAGACGGTGGTGGTGGTGGCGGTTGTGGTGGTGGTGGTGGTGGTTGTGGTGGTGGTGGTTGTGTGACCCGTGCATCAAAGGGCCCGGTTAGAACGCTCCGAATCGCGGTGTAAATTGCCCATTAGCCGTTGCCTCTCCCCGCAGGGCTGCGGAGAGGGGTCTCATACACATTTAATACCACGGGGTTTGATATTTAGGGAAGGCTGACGGTGTCCTGGGTGTGAGTAGAATGCATCTGGGTGTGAGTGTCAGGGTGCGATGGCTATGTGTCTGGGTGTGAGTCGGAGGTGTCTGGGTGTTTGGGCGTGAGTACATGTATCTGTGTGTGCGTGTTGTGTGTGTGCGTGAGACTGCTATCCGTTAGGCCTTCATAGGTGCTCGCTAACAACACTTGCCCCAACAGCCTGTGGAGACTACACAGGGTGTCTTTGTCTTTGTGTGAGACAGAGCCGAGTCTCTCGGTGCGAGGGAGCGAGCGAGGGGCAAATTAGTCCCGAGGTTTTATCCGCCTCTCTTGAGAACGCGCCTTGTTTAATCAAATATCACGCTCTCTCCCGTCTCTCTCCCTCCCTCCCCTCTATCTCTCCCGTCTCTCTCTCTCTCCTCTCTCTGCCCTCTCTCTCCTCTCCCTATCTCTATCCATCTCTCCTCTCTCTCGCGTGGGACGGGTTGAGCAGCTGCAGAGACAGGTTTGAGAGCACAGCGACGTGCGTGGCTGTCACATGAAGCGTACGCGCGGCTGGGTGTGTGAGTCGGTGTGTGTGTGTGTTTGCGAGTCCGTGCGTGTGTGTCTTTGTCTTTTGTCTGTGTGTACGAGTGGAGAGCGGTGGCGTAGTGGTTAGCGTATTGTGTGCCACAAACCCAGCGACCCGAGTTCGATTCCCGCTCACGGTCAACACCAGTGACGAATATCTGAACCGGTCCTGGGCCTCCCCTAGGTCGACTCAGCCTCAAATGAGTAACCCGGTGCGGTGTGTAAACATCGCCGCTGGGGAGACAAAAGGCGGTCGGGCGTGGTGCTGGCCACCCACCCCCTCGTGTACCGCTCCGGCCTTCATAGGTGCTCGCTAACTGCACTTGCACCCTACAGCCTGTTAAGGCTAGACGGGGCGTCTTTGTCTTTGTGGGTGTCTATATATCTATGTGTGTGTGTGTGTGTTTGCTCGCTAATCGCACTTGCCCCTACAGCCTGTTAAGACTACACGGGGCGTCTTTGTCTTTGTGGGTGTCTATATATCTATGTGTGTGTGTGTTTGCTCGCTAATCGCACTTGCCCCTACAGCCTGTTAAGACTACACGGGGCGTCTTTGTCTTTGTGGGTGTCTATATATCTATGTGTGTGTGTGTCCGTGTGTGTGTGTTGTGTGTGTGTTTGCTCGCTAACCGCACTTGCCCCTACAGCCTGTTAAGACTACACGGGGCGTCTTTGTCTTTGCGCGTCGCGCGCGCAGGAGGAGCAGAACCGCGGCAAGCCCAACTGGGAGCATCTGAGTGAGGAGCTCCACGTGCTCGTCACCGTGGAGGACACCCAGAACCGCGCCGACGCCAAGCTCCAGCGCGCCGTCGCTGAGCTCAAGAAGCTGCTCGTGCCCGCGGTGAGGACAAAGACGACAAAGGTCCCCCGTGTAGCCTGCGACAGACCGTTGGGGCAAGTGCTGTCAGCGAGCGGCACCTGTGAAGGCCGGCACGGCAACGCGAGGGGGCACACCGGAGTCACGTGATTTACGGGAGGGTTGAGCTGAGAGTAGTCATGCGTTCAGTCTTGAAGATGTTGTGTGTACTGTATGTTGACTTTTCTTTCACACCGTATGTACCCTACCGCGTTAATCGGAGGTGGGAGGGAGAAGGACGACAAATCAAACACAAAAATAGATTCTGAAGAAACGAGTTTGTCAATCTAGATGATGATTTAAAAGCCGCATAGCTGGAGTTGCGTCCTAACATCGGAGAGAAGAGCGTTCCAGACAGCCGCAGAAGCGCATCTGAAAGCGCCGCGCGAATCAAGTGACCACCACCGTCGTTGTGGGTGCCGTGGGGGGCACGACGCAGACCCGCGTTGTGGGGGGCAGGGGCGTAGAGGGGCTGTACGGGGGGGGGGAGAGGGGGGCGCAGGGAGGCTGTACACGGGGGGCTGAGCACCCCTGCTCAAGGCGTTCCCCATCTCTCTCTCTCTCTAATTAATGATTCACATGAATTGCTCCCGAGGGGAGCACGTTTCTGCTGAGCAATCGTAAAATAAATGTAAAAAATCATTTCATTAAAGAAAAAAAATATCATTGCGTAGGAGTCTCACCTTAATTGTCTCTTGTACAGAGTCTAACCCTCCAACATTTACCATGGCAGATTCAATCGTACAAAGTGCCTGATACATCCGTGCATTGAATTACATGATTTGAGGTGGCCTGGAGTGATGTGGGGTGGTGGATAGTGTGGTGTGGGTGGTTGTGTTGTGGCATGGGTGGTTGTGTGGTGGTGGTGGTGGTGGTGTAGTCGAATTTATAGGGCGGGTGGTTGTGTGGTGGTATGGGCGATTGCTTGATGGTGTGGTGGATCGTATGGTGTGGGTACTTGTGTGGTTGTGTGGTGGACAGTATTGTGTGAGTGGTGGTGTGGGTGATTGTGTGGTGGACAGTGTTGTGTGTGTGGTTGAGTGGTGGACAGTATTGTGTGGGTGGTTGAGTGGTGGACAGTGTTGTGTGGGTGGTTGAGTGGTGGACAGTATTGTGTGTGTGGTTGAGTGGTGGACAGTGTTGTGTGAGTGGTTGAGTGGTGGTGTGGTGGACAGTGTTGTGTGTGTGGTGGTGTGGTGGACAGTGTTGTGTGTGTGGTTGAGTGGTGGACAGTGTTGTGTGTGTGGGTGGTTGTGTGGTGGACAGTGTTGTGTGTGTGGTGGTGTGGTGGACAGTATTGTGTGTGTGGTTGAGTGGTGGACAGTGTTGTGTGTGGTTGAGTGGTGGACAGTGTTGTGTGTGTGGTTGAGTGGTGGACAGTATTGTGTGGGTGGTTGAGTGGTGGACAATGTTGTGTGTGTGATGGTGTGGTGGACAGTGTTGTGTGTGTGGTTGAGTGGTGGAGAGTGTTGTGTGTGTGGTTGAGTGGTGGACAGTGTTGTGTGTGTGGTTGAGTGGTGGACAGTGTTGTGCGTGTGGTGGTGTGGTGGACAGTATTGTGTGGGTGATTGAGTGGTGGACAGTATTGTGTGGGCGGTGGTGTGGCTGCTGCGGCTGTAATCTTCCTCCCCCACCCTTGCCGGCCCTAAATCTTGCGAGGCCCCTATCCATAATCGCTTGTGGGCCACCGCACAGGCGCGCCACCGTATGCGCTACGTCAGCATGTCCCATAAACGCCGCTGAGCGAGGTTCCTCTTGGTTAATCCGGCCCCGTGCATCACTCAGGGGGCCTCTCAGCCGCGCGGCCCCCTTCCTAACCACGCGGTTAGCGGTACAGGGGGGGAGGGAGGGAGGGGTGGGGACCATTGTGTGGGCTCCACCACGACTTATTAATTCTCAAATTCGCTGACATGGGCGCCTACGTCTCACGGCGGCGTCTTCGTGAGTCATGAACACGCCACGTGAATCGACAAAAAAACTCGCTGTGTTTGTTTTGTGTTTGTTTGTGGGGTTAGGGGTCGGGTTCGGGGTCGACAGCTGGAGTCAGTCACAGGCTGCGCATGAGCAATGCGGTGGACATGACGGATTTGTTGCGTGTGCCTGTGGTTTCCAGGAAAGCGAGGATCGGGATAATAATTTACAAGTAACTATTAATTTGCTTATGTATCCAGGAGAGCCACACTGATTCGTATGATGCTTTTTCAGGAAGGTCCTTACTGCTACATTCAGAAGTTATTTTTCAGCCAAACAATGAGTGTTCATCATACACGCGGAAGGAGAAAAGTGGAACACCCAGAGAAAACCTACGCCTGATGCGAGGGGGCAACACTCTATCCCCACACATATCAGGGATGTATGTGTTTCTAAGTAAAGCATAAGGGTTAGACTTAGTGCCGGTGTATAGAATGTTTGGAGGGTATTCCTTATAAGGTATAGACTAAGGTAGCTTGAGTCACAGTGCTCATGCAATGTTCGGGCACTGTCTGTGGTGCAGGCGAGCTTTGCAGCGGTGCATGGGGTCTGCTTCTGTCTATCGAGCCGAGTGCTGGCAGCCTCAGTATGGACAGCTTTGTTGCCACAACCCTCAGTCCGCACGGAGTTATGGTCGCTGACCACGCTGCTAATGCCGTCTGTACAGGGAGATCGCTGTCGCTGTCCGTGATGCTATTATAGCCCTCGGTGTGTAGGGAGTTATGGCCGCTATCCATTGTACTGATGCATTCAGTACCGAGAGATTATGGTCGCTGTCCGTGGTGCTGACACTCTCAGGGTGAGGGAGGCGATGGTCGCTGTGCGTGATGCTGATACTCAGTGGGAGGGAGGCGATGGTCGCTGTCCCTGGTGCTGACACTATCCGTATGAGGGAGGCTATGGGCGCTGTCCGTGGTGTAGACACTCAGTGTGAGGGAGGCGATGGTCGCTGTGCGTAGTGCTGATACTCTCAGGGTGAGGCAGGCGATAGGCGCTGTCCGTGGTGCTGACACTCTCAGGGTGAGGGAGGCGATGGTCGCTGTGCGTAGTGCTGATACTCTCAGGGCGAGGGAGGCGATAGGCACTGTCCGTGGTGCTGACACTCTCAGGATGAGGGAGGCGATAGGCGCTGTCCGTGGTGCTGACACTCAGTGTGAGGGAGGTGATGGTCGCTGTCCCTGGTGCTGACACTGTCCGTATGAGGGAGGCTATGGGCGCTCTCCGTGGTGTTGATCACGGCTTTGTGTCGCGCAGGCGGAGGGCGAGGACAACTTGAAGAAGATGCAGCTCATGGAGCTTGCCATCATCAACGGTACCTACCGGGACGGCAACTCCAAATCACGTGAGTGCCCCCTAAATTCCCCCGCCCCCCCACCATCTCCCTACACCCCCCTTGGCTGCCCACCCACCCGCGTCAGACACAAACATTCTCTCGTGTCAACGCAACACTCCGGTTAGTGGCATCGCGCAAGAGCGTCTGGGGAGCCGCCATGCCAAGTCATCAACGCGGGGAGCGCTCTGCCGATCTCTTTCCCAGCACCGCATTGGGCTCCGTCGAAGCTTGCGTGCCCAGATCGTCGCTGACGGCGCTAATTGCCAATTATCTGATTCACCACCACTACCCACCCGCCTCCCTCCCTCCCACCTCCCCCCCCCCCCACTTCCCCCTCCCCGCCACCTCCCACCCACGGTGTTCAAATCCTCCGCTCAACGACGAAGTCTTCCCCATGCCACGACGATCGTTTGCGATTCGTGAGCCTTGAGTCACGTGTCTCCCTGCTGCTCCCCACTCCCAAATACCCCCCACCCCCCACTCCCCCACCCTTCCACCCCCCAACCCCCCAACCCCTCCAACCCCTCCAACACCACTCTCACCATTTCTCCAGTGGTCGCGCATAAATCCTCGTTTTACACCGAGCGCTGTAAAACTGTGCCAGCGCTGTGTGGGGCCACACACACTGCGAGGTGGGGGGGGGGGGGGGGGGGGTGAGGTGGGCTTGGGGTGGGGGGGGGTGGGGGGCGATTAGGGGGGATTGGGGCACAAAGCCTCCCGGTAATCCCACTGCTACCCGTGGGATTGTCCTGCTGTCGCGACGTCTGGATCGGCTCGGACACGGCAGCATGCGGCTCACCGTGATTAGCAGCGAGGCTCCCTCGCCCTCACCGCGCACCCTGCGTCACTCCGCTGGAATCCGCGCAACAAATATCGCCCCCCTCCTCCCCACCCCTACTGCGGAATGTGTGCAGGGCTCTCCTTAGCCAGACTTGAGACTCAGCGAGGCTTTACTCCTGGGTAAACAAGGAGGAATGACAACAAATATAATAATAATGATCATACAGAGCAGTGTTCTTCATTGCAAGGCTCGCGGGCCACTGGTGGTCACTGGTGGTCACTGGTGGTCACTGGTGGTCACTGGTGGCCACTGGTGGTCACTGGTGGCGACTGGTGGTCACTGGTGGTCACTGGTGGCCACTGGTGGTCACTGGTGGTCACTGCTGGTCACTGGTGGTCACTGGTGGCCACTGGTGGCCACCAGTGACCACCAGTGGCCACTGGTGGTCACTGGTGGTCACTGGTGGCCACTGGTGGTCACTGGTGGCCACTGGTGGTCACTGGTGGCCACTGGTGGTCACTGGTGGTCACTGGTGGCCACTGGTGGTCACTGGTGGTCACTGGTGGTCACTGGTGGCCACTGGTGGTCACTGGTGGTCACTGGTGGTCACTGGTGGCCACTGGTGGTCACTGGTGGCCACTGGTGGTCACTGGTGGCCACTGGTGGTCACTGGTGGTCACTGGTGGCCACTGGTGGTCACTGGTGGTCACTGGTGGCCACTGGTGGTCACTGGTGGTCACTGGTGGTCACTGGTGGCCTTTAGTGCGGCCCCAGACAAACGAGAAATAGTGAAAACAGAGCCCTTGCAGGCCACGTGGCGGCCCTCGCTCTGCTGATGTCTTGTCGGCGAAAGTGACGCCCCCCGCCCCCCTCTGATAAGTAGTGAAGAACACCGCGCTATGATGAACCCTAAGTGGTTTGGTGCCATAGGTGCACTGCCTGGGCCGTCAGAACCGACGGTTTTGGGATCCCGGGTCCGTGATGGTCCCAGTGCGCCCCCTGCTCACCCCCCTCCCCCCCACCGTCCCCACCCCCCCCCCACCGTTGTTGAGTTTGTGTGTTGATGAGTTTGTGTGTTGTTGAGTTTGTGTGTTGAGTGTGTGTGTTGATGAGTGTGTGTGTTGATGAGTTAGTGTGTTGATGAGTTTGTGTGTTGATGAGTTGGTGTGTTGATGAGTTTGTGTTTTGTTACGTTTGTGTGTTGATGAGTTTGTGTGTTGATGAGTTTGTGTGTTGATGAGTTTGTGTGTTGATGAGTTTGTGTGTTGTTGAGTTTGTGTGTTGAGTGTGTGTGTTGATGAGTTTGTGTGTTGTTGAGTTTGTGTGTTGATGAGTCTGTGTGTTGTTGAGTTTGTGTGTTGATGAGTTTGTGTGTTGATGAGTTTGTGTGTTGATGAGTTTGTGTGTTGATGAGTTTGTGTGTTGATGAGTTTGTGTGTTGATGAGTTTGTGTGTTGTTGAGTTTGTGTGTTGATGAGTTTGTGTGTTGATGAGTTTGTGTGTTGTTGAGTTTGTGTGTTGGTGAGTTTGTGTGTTGGTGAGTTTGCGTGTTGATGAGTTTGTGTGTTGTTGAGTTTGTGTGTTGATGAGTTTGTGTGTTGGTGAGTTTGTGTGTTGTTGAGTTTGTATGTTGGTGAGTTTGTGTGTTGGTGAGTTTGTGTGTTGTTGAGTTTGTGTGTTGTTGAGTTTGTGTGTTGATGAGTTTGTGTGTTGTTGAGTTTGTGTGTTGATGAGTGTGTGTGTTGATGAGTTTGTGTGTTGATGAGTTTGTGTGTTTATGAGTTTGTGTGTTGATGAGTTTGTGTGTTGTTGAGTTTGTGTGTTGATGAGTTTGTGTGTTGATGAGTTTGTGTGTTGTTGAGTTTGTGTGTTGATGAGTTTGTGTGTTGTTGAGTTTGTGTGTTGATGAGTTTGTGTGTTGTTGAGTTTGTATGTTGATGAGTTTGTGTGTTGGTGAGTTTGTGTGTTGTTGAGTTTGTGTGTTGAGTGTGTGTGTTGGTGAGTTTGTGTGTTGTTGAGTTTGTGTGTTGGTGAGTTTGTGTGTTGATGAGTTTGTGTGTTGGTGAGTTTGTGTGTTGGTGAGTTTGTGTGTTGATGAGTTTGTGTGTTGTTGAGTTTGTGTGTTGTTGAGTTTGTGTGTTGAGTGTGTGTGTTGGTGAGTTTGTGTGTTGTTGAGTTTGTGTGTTGGTGAGTTTGTGTGTTGATGAGTTTGTGTGTTGATTATTGTTTCGCCTGCAGCGTGAACTTTGCCCTGGGCCTCGTTGAGGAGGGGGCGGTCACGGAGCCTGCGGGCTTCCTCTCGCCGGCTCACCTTTTAATTTATTCGGTTTTCTTTCTCTGTTTTATTCCTTCCACTCCATCCCCCCCCCCCTACGGCCCCCCCCCCCCCTCCACCTCACTCCCCTCCCCGCTACCTCCTCACGTCACCGCATCCGCGTCAACCTTCCGCGTGGCTCTGCCTCGCTCGCCCCTGGTCACAACGACAACCCTCACTCACCAACCCTCACTCACCAACCCTCACTCACCAACCCTCACCAACCCTCACCAACCCTCACTCACCAACCCTCACTCACCAACCCTCACTCACCAACCCTCACCCTAAACAACCCTCACTCACCAACCCTCACTCACCAACCCTCACTCACCAACCCTCACTCACCAACCCTCACTCACCAACCCTCACCAACCCTCACTCACCAACCCTCACTCACCAACCCTCACTCACCAACCCTCACTCACCAACCCTCACCCTAAACAACCCTCACTCACCAACCCTCACTCACCAACCCTCACTCACCAACCCTCACCCTAAACAACCCTCACTCACCAACCCTCACTCACCAACCCTCACCCTAAACAACCCTCACTCACCAACCCTCACTCACCAACCCTCACTCACCAACCCTCACTCACCAACCCTCACTCACCAACCCTCACTCACCAACCCTCACCCTAAACAACCCGATAACCTCCATCATAACCCAACACCCAACCGTGACGCTGACCATCTGAACTCGCCACGATTCTCAATCAAAACGAAACCACGAACGCCAACGCGACCACAACCATGCCAACACCCCCACTGCCCAAGGGGCTGTCTCACCCACATGCTGCCAGCACCCCCCCCATACCCCTCCCCCCAACATCTCACCCCCCCATACCCCTCCCCCCAACATCTCAACCACCCCCCCCCCCCATACCCCTCCCCCCAACATCTCACCCCCCCATACCCCTCCCCCCAACATCTCAACCCCCCCCATACCCCTCCCCCCAACATCACCCCCCCCATACCCCTCCCCCCAACATCTCACCCCCCATACCCCTCCCCCCAACATCTCACCCCCCATACCCCTCCCCCCAACATCTCAACCCCCCCCCATACCCCTCCCCCCAACATCTCACCCCCCCCCATACCCCTCCCCCCAACATCTCACCTCCCCCCATACCCCTCCCCCCAACATCTCACCCCCCCACACCCCTCCCCCACCTCTCCGCCCCCCCGCCCCCCCCCCCCCACGCGCACCCCGCGGCCTCACAGAGGCCATGCTGGGCTTCTCTCTTGCAGCGGCGCAGGCCCCGTCCCCGCGCCTCATTGCGGGGCCCCCCCCGCCCCCCGGGAGCGTCATGACGGCCGCGGCGCTCCGCACGGCCCAGGCCGGGGGGCCCAACCCCCCGCCCCCCGCCACCCCGGCCGCCTCGGCCGCGGCCGCCGCCGCCCTCATGCCGCTCATGCGGCCGTTCCAGGGGGCGCCTCCGGCGGGGCTGGTGCCCTCGGCGGCCGACGGCGGCGGCCTCATCTACACCCCGTACGAGTACTCCTACCCCCTGGCGCACCCCGGCGCGTCCATCCTCGAGTACCCGTTCGACCCCAGTGCGGTTGTAGGTACGTGGCACTGAGCTGTGCTCCCCGCGGGCGCTCGCTCAGCGGTGACGGCGGAATGAGAAGTGAGGATGGGGGGGGGGGGGGGGGGGCTGGTCCAGGGGGGGTTTCCGCTCCCCCCCCCCCCCACCCCTACCACTACCCCCCCCCCCCCGCTTGGCGATTGGGTGGGGGGGGGAGGAGGGGGTCGAGGGGAAGCAAAAAATAGTCCGCAACCCGTCGCGATGGTTGCCGCTAACCCCAGCCACATTAGCCACCCAGACTTCTAGCCCAGAGCGTGAACCCTTCACCACACTGGCCAGTCGGCCTCAAGCCCGACCGCTAAGCCTATCCCTCGCCCTAACTCTAAACAATTTGGCCCCTACCTCTGCAGCCATCCCTCAGGGGCCCAGAGCCCCCCCCCACCCCAGTCGCCTAGCTGCCCCCTTTTTCACTTCTTGTTCACCTGTTGTGCACGCGTGGTGCTCACTGCACTCATTATGTAAACGATGAGCGTCGATGCGAGTGAGCGAGCGAGTGAGCGAGTGAGCGAGCGAGCGTGGTGCAGACAGCATCGATGATGGGACGTCGGAGGCTGCAGGCTGTGGACCAAGCGCCGTACGCTCTGTCGTGACGACGATGACGATGATGATGACGATGACGGTGACGTCCGCGTCTCACCGTTACTCCCCCCCCCCCCCCGCCGGAACTAACGCGGGCTGTCGGGGAACATTTGAGGAATCCCTCTGTAAGGCGCCCCGCGGCTCAGAGAGCCGGGCCACGCGAAGGCGAGCCAGACCACCCCCGCTCTCGTGAGAGGCTCGCTCCCGATTGCCGAGTCGACGCGATTTGATTTCAGGAGCGGTCGGAGGACGGCGGTGGCAGCGACGGTTGTAAAACGGAGAAGTGTGAGCGTGCGGGGGCTGTGCGAGTGCGTAGGGCCCGCGTGGGTGCACGCACGCGCACACAACGACAAGCAGACACGCGCACGCGCGCACACACCCGTGGACGCACGCGCGCACACACCCGTGGACGCACACACGCACGCACACACCCGTGGACGCACGCACGCACAGACACGTGGAGGCACGCACGCACGCACACACCCGTGGACGCACGCACGCACAGACACGTGGAGGCACGCACGCACGCGCGCACACACACGTGGACGCACGCACGCACACACACGTGGAGGCACGCACGCGCGCACGCGCGCACACAGACGCTGCACGAACACAGAGACGCGTGGATACATGCGCACACGCAGACATCCGAATCTTTTTTTTTAGACTGCAGGAGGAATCGGATGAGCTCTGAAGCTCTCTTTCACAGACGTCCAGTGGACATGTGTCCACACACACACACACAGACGCGTGGGCACACACACGGACAAAAGGCGCAAAGACAAAGATCCCCCCGTGAAGCCTTCACAGACTGTAAGGGCAAGTGCTGTTAGCGGGCACCAATGAAGGTCAGCAGCGCACACGAGGGGGTGGGTGGCCATCACCACTCCCGACCGCCTTTCTCTCCCCAGTGGCGATGCTTACACTCCGCAAAAAGGTACTCATTTTAGGCTGAGTCGATCTAAGGGAGGTCCAGGACCGGCTCAGAAAATCGTCACTAATGTTGGTCGTGAGCGAGATTCATAGCGCAGCGTGCTAACGGCCTCACCACCGCTCCTCACACGGACACACAAAGACACACACACAGACGCATGGACACACACACATACCCTGAACAGACTGTTGGGGCCAATGCTGTAAGCGAGCACCTTATGGACAACAATAACAACAACCGCCATTCACCGCTCAGTGGCGGTGACGTCACCAATGCGCTTGTGCCAGGCTATGTGCACTATAAGGCCACGTGAAGTGTCGAACGCCCGCTGACAGGAGGTCACGGGACAGACCCAGGTGCCGTGGGTTGACTGACTGAGATGACTTGCAGATGCACCACCTGTGCCCCCTACTGTGCCAACTTATGACACACACACAGATGTGTGGACACACACACAGACGCCCACACACACAGACGCGCACACACAGACGCACACACACAGACGCGCACAAACAGACGCGCACACACAGACGCGCACACAGACATGCACACGCACACACAGACACACAGACGCCTGAACACACAGACGCACACACAGACGCACACACGCACACAGACACCTGGACACACACACAGACGCCTGAACACACAGACGCACACACACACACACGCGCACACACACACAGAGACGCACACACACAGAGACGCCTGAACACACAGACGCACACACACACGCGCACACACACAGACGCCTGAACACACAGACGCACACACACACGCGCGCACGCACACACAGACGCACACACACACAGACGCCTGAACACACAGACGCACACACAGACACACACACACAGACGCACACACACAGAGACGCCTGAACACACAGACGCACACACACAGACACGCACACACACAGACGCGCGGTGCCGATTCACGATCAGGGCGGCAGGCGAGAGATGCCCAGGGAACGGGGCGCTGATCACGCTCCCTCCACAATGCGATAGCCAGGAGGAAGGAGGCTCACCATCTGCGTCCCCTCGTGAGTTCATCGATTGGAGACGCCTCTGGACGCTTCCGTCGCACGCGCAGACTCAGCGACTCCGTTAGACCCTGCGGGCGGTAGCAGCGCAACATCTGTAGCGGTGCGACACTGTGAAATGTAAATCTTCACAATTGGCGATGGTTACATCCACGCGCGTGCAGCCTCATACACAGTGGTGTGAATGCAACGTCGAACATGAAAGGAACGTGTAGCGGTGTGAATTTACATCGGCTAATTGGCGTTAATCGATACCATCTCGAGTTATGTGAAGCTATACAGCGCAATAGAATTGATGGACTACAGCTTGAGGATGAGAATATTTATCAATCAGAATCTGAATTTAAACTGGAGGAGGGAACGCGCATCCATCACAATTCGTCTTCATCTGCAGGCAGAATTAGTTTTGGCTGAGGCCCAAGTTCATCAACAGTCGCATGCATAATTGTATCGATTAATCGATCGATCATTGATTCATTCCTCAAGAATATCCCCTCCCCTCGGAATCGACCAAAGCGTCGCACCCCGATTACGATTCGTGAATCGTCGCGCGCCGAGTGGAAACACAAACATCGGGGGGACACAGAAACACAGTAACCTCTGTCTGCGCCAGTTCCTCCCCCCCCTCCTTCCCCCTCCGCCCACAACTCAAAGCCGTATTCTGGTCGCAAGGTTTGCGCGATGTCTTTATACCAAAGCGAGAGGCGGCAAATCTCGCAAACTTCCACTGCGGACTAAAGTTGTGCAGACGTGGGGGTTGGTATCACCCAAACGCGTCCAACGCTTTGGTGGAGAGTCGGTGGACTTCTGTGCTAAAACGTCGAACGTTACGCTTGGGTATTTCACGACCGATGTGACGATCCAGTGCGGGGTGCCGTTTGCTGAGATGTTGTGTACAATGGCAGTGGTCAGCTACTAAAACGAAACTATTACAACAGCAAATTAATTTAACACGTAGGAGGCTTTCGTGACCAATATTATTCATAATAAAGGTTTTTGGGTTAGATCTAGTTATTTATAAATGTGTCGTAACCCTCCACCACCCGACACGGCCAAACAGTAAAACAATGTTTTACGTTGACAAAAGACAAAATTGTTCACTACTTTAGCCCACCGGTGTGTTGAAGAGTGAACCCACAGCAATTCTGGCGAATTTCCCGATGATGCTGGATGCAATTACCAGCGAAACGTCGTACTCAAAAATTGTAAATGCTGTAGATTCACTCTTCAACACACCGGTGGGCTAAAGTAGTGAACTATTTTGTCAACGTGACATATTTTTTACTGTCTGGCCGTGTCGGGTGGTGGAGGGTTACGACACATTTATAAATAACGCGATCTAACCCAAAAACCTTTATTATGAGCAAATGTATTATTTTACCAAGGGTCACTGAGCTATGTGGCTCTTTTTGAGAAGCGACCTGGCCACAATTGACAGCTAAACGAAGTGGCTTATCACGTGGAGATGTATAGCAGCCACAAACTCTAAACGCGTGATGCTCAGTCTAAATGTGGATGGAAAACCGGAGGACCCGGAGAAAAATCCACGCGACACGCAAACTCCACATATACATTCTTGATTTAAAATGTCCAAATATACATAATAGGGGTTTTTTTTCTGGTTAGTTCGCATAAATTTAAATGTGTCGTTAAACCCGCCACCACCCGACACAGCCATTAGTAAAGTTTGTCATGGAAACAAAACATGGCAATGTATTGCTAATTCAGCACACCGCTTGTGTGTTGGAGAGTGAACCCACAACATTTACAATTCGAGTACCGTGACGTTTTGGCACTAATTACAACCGGCCAGATTTATCGCCTGATGATGCTGATATCCTGGTCGCAAGTTCGTGGGTTCGATCCCGACCCTGACGCCTGCTGTATATTTGGAGTTCGCGTGTCTCTCCCTCCCTATCTCTCTCTCTCTCGATGTGGTCGCGTGGATTTTTTTTCATCCGGTTTTTCCCTCCACATTTAGAATCAACATCACGCGTTCGGAGTATTTGGCTGCTGTAAATTCCCACGCGATAAGCCACTTCGTTGAGCTGGCATTTGTGGCCAGCTTTGTTCTGAAATAAAATAAAATAAACCTATATAGCTCAGTGGGCCTCATTTGGTAACATAAACACAGTTTCGTTTTAGTTTAGTTTTAGGATGACCAACGAATCGTTCATCTTCTTTGGTTCTTTCGGTAAAGTCACGTAGAATGAGAATAAAATAATAAATTGATAAAATAAAATAACACAATCATATTCTCACGACGTTTCGGCCACAACACAAGCGGCCTTCGTCCCTTCACCTGATGAAGGCCGCTTGTGTTGTGGCCGAAACGTCGTGAGAATATTATTGTGTTATTTTATTTTATCAATTTATTATTTTATTCTCATTCTACGTGACTTTACCGAAAGAACCAAAGAAGATGAATCATTGCAGTCACGAAAGCTTTAAATCGAAACGAATCGTTCGTTGGGCGTGACGTCAGCGGCGCGGCTCGGCTTCTGCAGTGGAAACCCCCCCCCCCCTCCCAGTCTTCCTGAGCCGCGCCGGGTTCTGGCTCGGGTCGGATAAGCCAGTGGAAAAGAGTTGTCGGGGTAGTCGTAAGTAGCGGGCGTGTAGCTCACCGCGCTGCCGCCCTGTGTGCCGTCTCCTCCCCCCACAGGCGTCGCCTTCCCCATGAAGGGCTAAGAGCGGGCGGCGTGGGGCTCCACGCGCGTGCCGAGACCGCCACTGCCCGGCCCCGCCGTGTCTGTCGTTCCCACGCGTTCTAGCGGCGCCAGGGGTTGGAGGAGGAGGAGAAGGAGGAGGAGGGGGGGGCGGACACGGCCCTCCTGATCCCACCCGGCATCGCGGCGGGGAGAGAGTGCGGAGTGAGAGGTCATCGCATCCCGCTCCCCATTCTCCTCCCCCCTCTTCCTCCACCCTGCATGGGTGACCCCTGGCTGACCCGGGACGGCCGGGTCTGTGACCTCCTCCCCCCGCCCCCCATCCCCCCCCCCCACATCATCCACCCCGCAACCCCCCCCCCCCACCCCAGCACCCACTGTAGCCCCAGACGAGTCGGCTTCAGTCGAGGCTGATGTAGAACGCGAGGTGATCACCGCTGTTGTTGTTGTTGTCGTTGTTGTTGTCGTTGTTGTTGTCGTTGTTGTTGTTTGTTTGACGTCGCTAAGGGAACCAACTCGTACGCGTGGACGGAGGTAGTCGATCTCCGGGAGTCGTAGTCACTGTGTGAAGTGGGGGTCTCACCGCACCCCCCCCCCCTACCCCCCTCCCCCCCAATCCCCCACCAACCCCCCGCCCCCTCCTCTCCCCTTTCTCCACCAAACCAACTCCGCCACCCACGTCCCTCCTCCTCTTCCTCCTCCTCCTCCTCCTCCGCCGTGGTGGCGGCGCCAGCGGAGCCCTGGAGGTGGGAGTTGGAGCTCGGAGCTGCGCCGTGGCTGCATGGAGCATGGGCAAGGTGTCGGGGAGGGTGGGCGGTTTGAGAGGGAGGAGATGGGGGGGGGGGTGGTGGTGGTGGTCAGGGGGGGGGGGGTCACTGGGGCAGACCGAGGGAGATCGGCCCAGGTGCCCCGGCACGAGTCTGGCTCACGGGCAGCGGTGCCAGGCCCGATGAGGTGGATGATGAGGTGGGGGGGGGTGGGGGCCTGGTGGTGGCCTTCTGCTGTAAGAATTCTCATCTCTTGAGAGTTCGCAGTGAACCGCGGGCGGGTCCAGGGTTTGCTGCCAATTCGTCCGCCGTCGGCTGGCGCTCCGGGCCTTGCCTCTACCACTAGCACCAGCGGCGCTGTGCACGTTGCCTGCTACAGGGCACCGGCCCGTATCGCGAGCTCAAAGGGTCCTGATCCCGTCGCTTCCATTAGCGCCATCGTTGCGGTTAGCACCGAGATCAGCCCCATCACCAACACCGGCACGCTCGCACTGGCCCTATCCTCATCATTAGCCATATCGCTGGGCATGTTCATATCGCTGGCGCCAATCAAACTTTCCCTATTCATATCACTCGCTCTGTCACCAGCCCATACACCATCGCCAGCACTCTCTTGCTAGCCCAACGTGGATATCACGGGCCCTGACCCTAGCCCTGACCCCGGCCCCCCCCCAAACCCAGCCAGCCTCGTGTGTGCCCCCCACCCCAGACTCGTGCCGGGGGGGGTGGGGGGGTGGTGGCGGGGGCTCTGTGTGCGACCCCGCGTCACGCCGCGCCGAGCCAGGGATACGCACGCAACTCCCTCCCTCCCTCCCCACCCCCCACCCCATGTCTCCCCCCCTCCCCCCCCCAGGTCTCCACACGTGTAAATACGGGAGCCCCCAGGGAGCCCCGACCGGGCCGTGTGACGGGACGATAGTAATATATGCAGCTGTGTCGGAGCAGAACGCGCTGGTTCATGGACGGCGCTACCAGGGGGGGAAGGGGGGCGGGGGAGCATGAGTGTTAGGGGGTCGTGTGGGGGGGGGTAGTGGGAGGTAGTGTGGGGGGGGGGGTAGTCGGAGGTAGTGTGGGGGGGGCAGTGGGAGATAGTGTGGGGGGGGGGTAGTGTGGGGGGGGGTGTTGGATAAGGAGGTGGGGCGGAGTCGACGCCGCAGATGTAAAATAGGAAGGAGAAAGTCACCAATTGTGGTGGAGGAGCTGTAGCTGAGAGGACTCGGGCAGGCTGTGTGTAGCTGTGTGGAGGAGCTGTAGCTGAGAGGACACGGGCAGGCTGAGTGTAGCTGTGTGGAGGAGCTGTAGCTGAGGGGACACGGGGAGGCTGTGTGTAGCTGTGTGGAGGAGCTGTAGCCCAGGGACACGTGGAGGCTGAGTGTAGCTGTGTGGAGGAGCTGTAGCTGTGGGGACACGGGGAGGCTGTGTGTAGCTGTGTGGAGGAGCTGTAGCTGTGGGGACACGTGGAGGCTGAGTGTAGCTGTGTGGAGGAGCTGTAGCTGAGGGGACACGGGGAGGCTGTGTGTAGCTGTGTGGAGGAGCTGTAGCTGTGGGGACACGGGGAGGCTGTGTGTAGCTGTGTGGAGGAGCTGTAGCTGTGGGGACACGGGGAGGCTGTGTGTAGCTGTGTGGAGGAGCTGTAGCTGTGGGGACACGGGGAGGCTGTGTGTAGCTGTGTGGAGGAGCTGTAGCTGTGGGGACACGGGGAGGCTGTGTGTAGCTGTGTGGAGGAGCTGTAGCTGAGAGGACTCGGGCAGGCTGTGTGTAGCTGTGTGGAGGAGCTGTAGCTGAGAGGACACGGGGAGGCTGTGTATAGCTGTGTGGAGGAGCTGTAGCTGTGGGGACACGGGGAGGCTGAGTCTAGCTGTGTGGAGGAGCTGTAGCTGAGGGGACACGGGGAGGCTGTGTGTAGCTGTGTGGAGGAGCTGTAGCTGACAGGACACGTGGAGGCTGAGTGTAGCTGTGTGGAGGAGCTGTAGCTGAGAGGACTCGGGAAGGCTGTGTATAGCTGTGTGGAGGAGCTGTAGCTGAGAGGACTCGGGAAGGCTGTGTGTAGCTGTGTGGAGGAGCTGTAGCTGTGGGGACACGGGGAGGCTGTGTGTAGCTGTGTGGAGGAGCTGTAGCTGTGGGGACACGGGGAGGCTGTGTGTAGCTGTGTGGAGGAGCTGTAGCTGTGGGGACACGGGGAGGCTGAGTGTAGCTGTGTGGAGGAGCTGTAGCTGTGGGGACACGGGGAGGCTGAGTGTAGCTGTGTGGAGGAGCTGTAGCTGAGGGGACACGGGGAGGCTGAGTGTAGCTGTGTGGAGGAGCTGTAGCTGTGGGGACACGGGGAGGCTGAGTGTAGCTGTGTGGAGGAGCTGTAGCTGTGGGGACACGGGGAGGCTGTGTGTAGCTGTGTGGAGGAGCTGCAGCTGAGAGGACACGGGGAGGCTGAGTGTAGCTGTGTGGAGGAGCTGTAGCTGTGGGGACACGGGGAGGCTGTGTGTAGCTGTGTGGAGGAGCTGTAGCTGACAGGACACTGGGAGGCTGTGTGTAGCTGTGTGGAGGAGCTGTAGCTGAGGGGACACGGGGAGGCTGAGTGTAGCTGTGGTTGAGTCCCAAAGTGTGTGGGATGTCCCCACCACCTCCTCGGCTACAGCGCCTCTCTCTCTCTCTCTGTCACACACGAACGGCGCTGTTTTGTTTTTATTGCGAGCCATCTCGAGCACATTCCACGTTCGGTTGAATAGCGGAGTCATGTTAACACGAGAAGTTATTAGCCAATAATAACAATAACATGAACATGAGTTTAATAATGCATATTGAGTGAATTGCCTTTTACACCTCCTCCCCCCTATCTAGAGGTATATTTAGCTCGGTGTGGGGGGGGGGGGGGCTAAGTGTATTGTTTGACCCCCACTCCCCACCTGGAGCCCCCCCCCCCCCCCATTATTCTTATGCTCCTCTCCTGCATCTCGATTCGCACCGTACAGACGCGTGCTTCCCACGTGCTCCCCGCGTGCTTCCCACGTGCTCCCCACGTGCTTCCCACGTGCTCCCCACGTGCTCCCCAAGTGCTTCCCACGTGCTCACCACGTGCTTCCCACGTGCTCCCCACGTACTCCCCACGTACTCCCCGCGTGCTTCCCACGTGCTCCCCAAGTGCTTCCCACGTGCTTCCCGCGTGCTTCCTACGTGCTTCCTACGTGCTTCCCACGTGCTTCCCGCGTGCTCCCCATCTATGCGTCGGTCGCGTGAGGTGGGGGCGGGGCGGGGGGTCGAGAGCTGCGGGAGGATGGTAACTTGTGGTGGGGGGCAGACGACACAATGACACCAAACAGAATCCCCGCCAACCTCCCAACTTGGCCCCCTATCCTCCGCCGTGTCCAGGGAGAGTGGCACGGCGCCTGATAGCCAGACCACTCCATACCCCCCCCCCACACCCAGGTGTACGTATGTGTGTGTACGTATGTGTGTGTACGTATGTGTGTGTACGTATGTGTGTGTACGTATGTGTGTGTACGTATGGGTAGGCGGGGGCGTAGTGGTCACCGCACTGCGCTAAGAAACCCGGCGACCCAAGTTCGATTCCCGCTCACGCCAACCGGCTTCCAGTGACGATTATCTGAACGGGTCCTGGGCCTCCCCTAGGTCGACTCATCCTCAAATGAGTACCTGGTGCGATGTGTAAACATCACCCTCGTGTGCCGTGCCGGCCTTCATCGGTGCTCGCTAACAGCACTTTCCCCAACAGTCTGTTAAGGCTACACGGGGGATCTTTGTCCATTGGGCACGTCACGTTATAAACCCCCCGAGAGAGAGAGAGGGAGAGAGGGGCACTCAGACGCAGCTGTCAACCCCGGGCTCGGGGTCTCCTACGGGACCACGATTAGCCCTCGTAGAGGCCGATTTGGTCGAAGCCACCTCAATAGAACTCGGAAACTACGAGCATGATTAGAGCCCGGACGGACGACCACCATGCAAACCAGCTGTTATAGGCTGCTGCTGCGACTACGCTGTGGGCAGCAGAGGGCAGCAGAGGGCAGCAAAATGCGCCGCTGCCCTTTTACTTGTGCCCCCCCCCTCCTCCTCCTCCTCCTCCCCCGCCACCTTACCCCCTTCATCCTGACCGGGCCCGTCAACTACGAACGATTAACGACCGCCACGGACCCGCACACACGTGGGGGAGGGCCCTCATCCAGCAGTGGATTGACACAGCGGCTGTACAAGTGCACGCGCACGCGCACACGCACACACACGCGCGCGCGCACACGCACGCGCACGCGTGTATTGAGACCTGCCCAGGGGTTCTCCACGTGGAAAGATTCATCCTCTCGGTCACCTTCACACTCGAGGTGGTACAGCCCGGCCCCACGGCCCCCCGGCCCCACGGCCCCCTCGCGTGCGCTGGGTACGTTGTGTCTGCGTCTCTAACCAACTCGTGCTCACGTCTCCCCCCCCCCCACCTCCCTGCCCCCCCCCCTGCTCCCCACTAACTCCCCAACTCTCCCCACTACCAGCTCCAAGGCCACGCCGTGACCGGCTCGGTGCTCGTGTGTTGTGTGCGCTGTGCCCCAGTCTCAGCCACAGAC